AGGAATAGTCATGCCCACTTTGAGTGCCACATTTCCCAGGAGGCATGTGACTTCTTTTTGCATTAGTTGTTTTTACTTTGAGAATGATCACCTTGTTCCTTCCGGTGTGTTAATAAACATTTCTGCCTTCAAACTATGGGCTGCTGCAGCCCAACTCAAATGCAACAGTAAATGCTGCAGCTCACAGAATCACACAACGGTTGAAGTTGAAAGGGACTTCTGGAGGTTGTCTTGGCCAAACCCCCGGCTCAAGCAGGGTAGCGTAGAGCAGGCTGCCCAGGACCGCGATCCATAAGCAGTACAGTGTTAACCCAGAACTTCCCCATTCTCTACAAGGTCCCCAGCCATAAGCCTGAGTCTCTGTGTGGGGCTTGCAGACAACTTGCTTTCTAGAAAACAAGAGTAGGACAGGTATGATGAGTGACTTTTTAACTCTAGATGCTCATTGAAATAGTTGTTATATGAAAAGTGCTGATTTAATGCTGCCTTACTTTAATGTTGCCTTACTGTTTCTCTTCAGATAGCCAGTGGCCTGCTGATTGCATTTGAGACTTAAAGTTATGCATCAGATTGCAGGTTTAGACATCTCCATGACTGTTTTAAATATTCACAAATCATGAGTAGTTATTGCTCCCGCAGATGTCCTGTTTTACTAATACCACTGTAATTTCAGGTTTCTAGATAAAGATTCGGTTGTCTTTCATGAGGTACTTTTATTTTAGAAATATTGGCCTGAGACAGCATTTCCAGCATTACTGTCTCTGCAGTCTGTCGGCTTTCCCAGTACACAGTGTGTTGTAACAGCCTTTCTTTTCCTGCTGAACCAGGTGCTGTTATTTCATGACCAGAATTATGGAATTCATTATGAATACACCATTCCTGTAAACTATACTGCTGAAAACAGAAGCGAGCCAGAAAAGCAACCGGATTCTTTGTACATCTGGACACACAGCGGATGGGAAGGGTGCAGTGTGCAGTGTGGAGGAGGTAAGGCCATTTGGAAGCTTGGTGGGACTTGCTGTACGGGGTTTGCAGACACCAGCCATTAGAGAGATGCCTGCAGAAGACGGTGTTGCCAAAGCATGAAAGAAACTGGCCATGGGAATGGATGTTGCCATAATGAACTCAAATGAGAGCTCATTCTCACCAGCTCTCCCAGCTATCATCCACATCCCCACAGTTAATTTTCACCCAGCATTTTGGCAGGGACGCTGCTTTGTCGGCTCGTTACTGTAGGCTGGAACTGCACCTGGATTAGTGCTCCACGGATGGCTCAAGGCGCCGTGGGCAGCCCCATATCTCAAGCCTCCGTCACATTCTTGGAGCAGAGTTTTCACAGGTGTTCAGGCATGTTCACTGGAAGACACTTCCTTCCCCAGGGATGAAACGGGGGCAGTGCTGCTGTGACAGCTCCTGGAGATTGCGTCAGACGCTCCTAGTGCAGGGTGGACTTTCTGGGAGTACGTGAGCACATTGCAAATCACGGTTTTCACCCGATCCCTAGGATGTGCTGAGACAGATTTGCTGAAGCCCTGGGGGGAACTGGTGCCTGTGAAACCTGAGATTGGTTTGTCAGCCACCCTCCATTGAATTTTCAGTGCTGGAAGAAGTAGGTTTTTCCCTGAGGAAAATGGATCATTTCCATGCATTCTGGCCAGTCTTTCTTCACCAGCAGACCCAATTATTTATCATATTATGTGACACAAAGAAAGAGTGCTCATCTTCACATTTGAAGGCTCACTGCCCTCAGTGTACTGAAATTGTGGATTTTTTTTTTTTCTGTAAATAGAACTCATTTTAAAATTGACACTTACTTTTACTCATGTTTTAAAACAATAATTTCTGAGAGCCATTCAACCTTCACATGAATGAGTTGGAAATTTGTTTGTGGCTCTTTGGATTTGTGTTGCAAGCCTGCCGCGTATTTGAGTCAAATCAGTACCTGGCAACATGGCTCCCACCAGTAGTAGCTTGGATGGCAATTAATCTCTTACATTTTGGTTGTCAGATGCTTTTACTACTTACCCAAGCTGGGAAGGGCCTATTCCCTTCCATACAGACTTCTACAATTTTTTTTATTAACAGAATTTAAGTTCTTTTTTATTACCTGCTGGAGATCATGAATAAACTCAATTTGATGCAGACTCAGGGTTAAGAAGAGGATCTGAGAAACCAAAGTAATTAGCAGTAAGGCAAAGCCACAGAGTGCGGGGATGGCATTTTCCTTGTCACATCTGGTCATTGTCATGCCACCCTGTGGCACAGCTTTCCTGATGTCACGCAGTGGAAGGCTGAACCCTGAGGGCCCCACTGCTGCCTCTGGGTGAAACTGCTGATGCACAGACATTTTACGTGAGAAATGCTGAGTACTGCTAAGGTGTCTCCTACTGGCAGGGTTTTTAAACCTGGAGGACCAGAAAATGAGAAATAATTTATTTTGGTGGCTTAATTTCACCTCTTTGTGAAATACAGACAAGCTCAGTTTATCGCTCTTGAACCCCAGTCACTCCTTTTCAACCTGACCCTTCCTGAATGGGGAGCAGCAAGGGGCAGCTGTCCTGTCATTATCAGTCACGGGGGGGTGGATGGTTGTGTGGCTTCACCTTACCTAGCTGGAGCATCTGTCCTAGGTGATTACAGGGCACAGCTACATGTGGAGGAGGAACCAGCAATGAAAGCAAATTGTTTTCAAGATTGTTTTCACATTAAACACGAGAAAGAGAAAGCCCAACATGTTGTTCCTGTGGAGCAGTGAATTTCGCAATTATTGGGGAAAGATTTGTAGCTTTTCTGAAAAAAAAACAGAACAGTACAAAGGTAAGGCAGAAGTGGGAAATAAGATTGCTTGCAGAGGTGGTCGGTCTGTGCAGATTACATCTTGTAGAGATAGAAGGGAGGTCCTCCTGGCTTTTGAGTTTTGATTAATGATTTGACATGGTTTTGTTCTTAGCCACCAGTTTCCTTTTTCAGACTTGTTTTTCATTTGACTTGTAGGTGAACGGAAAACCATTGTATCCTGTACTCGACTTATTAACAAGACCATGACACTGGTGAATGACAGTGACTGCCAACGAGTGAATCGCCCTGAGCCCCAGGTCAGGAAATGTAACACACACCCCTGCCAGTCACGGTAAGGAGTTAAAAAATAATAAAACCCCATATCCTTTTCCTTCACAAATCGACCATTTCCAAAGCCTCCATCTGGTGAACATGGTGAAAATGTCTAAAAGTATTGGAACACATTGTTAGCCATAGTAACCAGCTGTAATATTCATTTCCTTTTGTTGAGCAGGTCAGATTTGCATTACCTCAGAGCCCATGTAATTTGTGGACAGTAAGGCCAGATTCCATGCATGCTACCTTCATGCATTGTTTGGGGATGGTTTTCTTTTCCCCTTGGCTGCCTCCTGGGTGACAGAGCAACTTGCAGTGCAAAACTAGACAAGAGTGCAGTGACTGCATAGTTAACCTTTTTTTTTTTTTTTTTTGAATCAGCACAGAGTAGGGTCTGATTAATGGTCAAACAGTGCTACAAAAAAAACTCGCAACCAACCCACAGCCTTCAAGCTACTACAGCTGACCTGCTGTGTTGCGTGCCTGATCTGCATTAGCATAGTTCAGACTGGGAGTCTCTAGGCGAGAAGCGTCTCTTTTTCATGTGAGGTTTAGTACTGTGTCTAGCAGCACCTGCATAGTTTTGGAAACATACCTGAATCTTGCTTGTCCTGGTTTCAGCTGGGACAGAGTTAATTTTCTTCCTAGTAGCTGGTGTAGTGCTGTGTTTTGGATTTAGTACGAGAATAATGCTGATAACACACTGATGTTTTAGTTGTTGCTACGTACTGCTTATGCTAGTCAAGGGCTTTTCAGCTTCCCATGCTCTGCCAGGTACACAAGAAACTGGGAGGGGGCACAGCCAGGCCAGCTGACCCAAACTGGCCAAAGGGCTATTCCATACCATACGGCGCCATGGGCAGTATAAAAACTGGGGGAGTTGGCCGGGGGGCAGCGATCGCTGCTCAGGGACT